GCGCGCGGGGAGCGCGCGGCCGTTGGGTCGCGCGAAAGGCTGCCGAGCCGGGCCGGACGCTCCGGCGGCGCGGTTTCTTCCCGAAATCTGAGGCGGAGAACCGCGTTCGTTCCTGGGGCGTTTAAGGTTTTCCTTTTTCAAGTGAGTGTGCTAAAGTCAGTGTGAAACGAGCTGGTGTTCCACGACCCGCGAAAAGTACGAGTTTAAAAGACACAAGCATTCCTCTCGCAGCCCCTCAACTTCAGTCGCCTCAGCGGCGCGAAAGGAGCGTGGTGTTATCTCCGCGAGCCCTCGCGCTCACACCCATCCCCCCCCACCCCGGTCTTTGCTAGAAAGCGCCCCCCTTTCTTCGGACTGTCAATTCTGGCTGCTCTATACCTCTTTTCAAACTTAAAAGAGTAACTTTCCTTCTCGTGGAGGCCATGGGCTCCTGAGGTGGTGGTAGCGGGGGTGCGCCTGGGAAGCTTGGAAACTCCCGCCTGTGGCCCCGCACGACCCCGGCCGCCCTGCCTGCGAGCGAACACGACCCACCCCCTCCGAACAGGGGGAGCCCCGGCCTCGTCACCGTGCTGAGCGCCTGGACGGGGGTGTTGGGGGGTTAGGGGGGGACTGTCACCCGCCGAGCCTCCAGCTGCGTGGCAACGCCGCCCCCTGCCGGTGCCCTGCGGAGCTGCTCTCAAAGCGGAGGAACCAGCGGGACTGCAGACGGAAGCCATTACTCCTCAGCGCAGGCCTGGAGAGGTGCAGGAGTCGGAGAAGGGAAGAGCAGCCGCACGATTCTCACTGGTCCATCGCTTCCCCAGATGCACATTCCCATGAATATGGATCTAGTCACCTGTGCATAACTGCGCGTATGTTGTGAGAGAAGTGTGATTTGACATAGAGCAGTGGTGGACTTGGATGTCCCTGGTGGCACAGTGGATAAGAATCCGCCTGCAGATGTAGGAGACATGAGAGACGCGGGTTCCATCCCTGGATCGGGAAGATCCCCTGGAGGAGGGCGTGCAACCCTTTACAGCACTCTTGCTTGGAGAACCCCATGGACAGAGGAGCCTGGTGGGCTACAGCCCACGGGGTCGCAAACAGTCTGAAGCAACTTGGCACACACACACAGTGGTGGACTAGCTGAGACCAGGAGAGCTGGGGAGACGAGAGGAGCGGCGTCCTTTAGATCGGATCTGGAAAAGTGGACTTGGCTTGGTAGTTGAGGAGGGAGAAGAGCACTACCTACCAGCAAAAGGGAAGAGTGTAAGAGAATTGGAGTTTGAGCAAGGCCTTATAGACCGCCGCTGTAAGAAATGAGATTGGTGGTACATTTCGATACATACCAGGTTGGTTTCTAGGAACTTCGTGAGAACCTCCGGGCAATACTCTGCTTAACTCTTTACAAGTAACACCTCGTTTAATCTTCACTTGAGAAGATATCCTCTATCACAGGGATTTGGAAACAAGAACTGTGAGGTAGAGATTTGCCCAAGTGAGTTCAGCCCTTGAAACCAACCCTTTTCTCTGGGGAGTGCTATTTAGCCATTGTTTTCAGGAAATAGGATACATGTAGCCTACCAGTACCTTCTGGTAATTTGAACCTCTGAATTTGAACGAAAAAGAAAAGGTCTTTTCTATAACGAAACACATGACAAAGGCTAATATGAATTCTGCCCCTGAAAACAAAAGCAATGGAGTAGACTATGTAGTAGGTGAAAATGAAAGTTAGTCACTCAGTGATGTCTGACTGTTTGCGGCTCCATGGACCGTAGCCTGCCAGCTTCCTCTGTCCATGGAATTCTCCACTCAAGACTACTGAAGTAGGTAGTCATTCCTTTCTCCAGGGGATCTTTCCGACCCAGGGCTTGAACCTGGGTCTCCAGCATTGCAGGTGGATTCTTTTCTGTCTGAGCCACCTGAGAAGCCCAGTATTAGGTACACTGCACTAAAAAAAAAAAAAAAATCAAAGATTTAGCCCCACTGCCATTATTTTGTACTTTAAGCCTTCTCCCAAAAAAAGTGGGGAAGGTAAAAAGAAAAAAAAGCTTTAGAGTCTCTGAGCCCTTGGCTACCCGGGCTTCAGGAAATCTTCAAGATTTTGGTCTGTGGGGCTAACGGAATCTACATTTTAGGAAGTTGCCCATGCGATTCCTAACGCAAGGGCCCAGCCATAATTTACACCGGGCTGACAAGGGATACTGGCAGCCTGCTTCTCTAGGTGGGCAGCCCCTCTCCCTGGAAGAGGCTGCTCTTTTCTGCCTGGCTACTCTCATGACCTCTCCCAAGAGTGGAGAGCAAGGCTGAGAGGCAGAGGTGGAGCCTGAGGCCAGCTCCAGAGAGTCTGCAGTGCATCAGACCCTGTGCTGGAGAAGGGTGAGTCCCAGGAGCAGTGGGGCAAGACACCTTCTCCCAAGTTGCCAGGGCCTTGTGGCTGACACTTCCCTGACCCTCTAACAAAGCATTACCCCTCTCCATCTGGGCTCTCCCTTCCTAGCACCCTTCCTAATCCCAATAATCCAGACCTGCCACCTCCTGTGCTATTACATCTGGGATCTCTTACTTTTGGCAACACTGCATAGTGTTTTGAATGAATTCATATGGGCCTGATTCATAGTGGCCACTTGATACATACTGTCGAATGAAAGCATCTGTTGTTCTTTGTCCCTCTTCTCCCTGTCTTCAAACTGAGAAAACATTTACATTCTGGAAAGGAAAAGGTTCATCCTTACATGAAATTGCAAATTTTGCAATTGCAAGTATTTTTTCCCCCTAGAAACCAAACTAACTATCAAATGAGAAAGTCCCCACTCTCCAAACATGTTCATTGCCAAGATCACCTCTCAACACAGTTATCCTTGGATTAAATTTAGATGCAGAGTTGCCATATACATGTCTGTATACTAGGCTTTAAATAGGCATTAATTTCTGTAGCTTTTTGGTAAATAATTTACTTTTTTCTCATCTTAAAGGGTAGAAAGATCTATGGCAATATAATGCTGTATGTCTCTATCTGTAGTTCTTAAAGGAGAGCTGAAAAAAAGAAACACTTATGACTAGTCAACCTTGATTTAAAAGTAATAGTGACAGTCAGTATGGACTTAGCAAAATAAGAAATTCCGTTTTGGCCTGGATAGTACTTAATATTATTGAGTTGGTTATAATGTGCCAGACACTATGGTTAGTATTTTATAGACACCATTTCTTTTAAACTTTCTCCACATAGCAGAGCTCTACATATCCCGTCCCCATTTTCCAGATAGGGAAGACGAGGCAGAGGAAGGTTAAGGAAATTACAGAAGTGGCAGTGCCACTCCTGTGGCTGCTCTCCGTGGCTTTCCCTCTGGGAGCCTTCCTTCCCCTGCCATTTCATTTTCCTTTTAGGCTTAAAATTGAACTGGGGCTGTGCTCTGCTCCTACCTTCTTTCCAAATTCTATATGCTCAGATTGTATAGAACGTTGAAGACCAAGATGTTTTGTCTTGAAACAGCTGCTGAGGTCAGAATGCACCTGCCTGAGTGGATGAGAGTTTCTTCCTCAGTCAGAAAGGCCCATCTCCCTGACTGGGGGATCCAGAAAGTTAGCAGCCTTCCAAAGAGGCTTTGAGAAAACCACACACACACACACACGCACACAGAAACAGGGTGAGAGGATCACAGTCTGCCCCAAGTTCACTTAGCAGTCTTGCTACCCTTCCCATTTTGCTTTGTCTGCTTCCTGTCTTTTCAGGAATGGTTTCAGAAGATAACCAGCAAATAAATATGCAACGATTCCGCCACGCTCACATCCAAACTTTGCTTATAACACAGCAGTGGGGCCTAGTTCCTCTCTCTCCCCAGATTGTTGTCTTGCTCTTCATCTTTTCACACCAGCTCTCTCCACTTTCTCCATGGATTATCCACCTTCCCCTGCCCTTGCCCTTTCCACCAAAAGTGACAAAACTGCAGAAATACCTTGTCCCCTCACCCCCACCCTGGGTCAGAGCAGTGGGATGTGAAGACTTTGGGCCGCTCCCCACACCCTTGCCATTCACCACCTTCCTAGGGTAGAGTGGTTCCTGAGGCTATGGAGGACAGACAGGCACCCTTCTCCAGCCATGTTCACACAGAAGTCCACACTGCAGGGCAAACAAGAGCTTTCTGTCATCCAGTTATTATTAGTAGAACAGCAGCCAATCAAAGGGCTTCATGTAAAAATTAAAACTCCCTTGGGAAACTAGTCAATACATTACCTGTTTTCCCAGGGAATGCTGCTTGTGAAATGACTCTGCTCATATTTCTTCAGGGAAATAAAGGTTTATTCAAGGCCTATCAAAGGCGAGAGACATCCTAAATCATACAGCTTCTAGTCTTGAGAATAACAGCTCAGCATCGTATTACCTATATGGTTGTTAGCAATCGACAGATTGACTTCTATAGTTTAAACTTTTCAACACTTTTTTCCTGTTTTATTTCATTTTATCTTCAAAATTATCCTGACCAATGTGCAGTGCTGGAAATTCTAGGTGATTTTCGCAGGTTTACATCTCTAATTCTGGAAAAGTCAAAGTAAGACTCAGTTGCTTTCAGTCATGGGCCAGCGTCCCTTTCTCAGCACCACATGGTTTAATCTTTCATACACTCAAAATCTGTGAGTGTATTTCAGTGATCAGTAAGAAATTGTTCAGTTTGAAGGGAACTTCTAGCCACAAAGAACATCGTTTGTATGGACTACATTCTCACCTGTGAACATCTTACAAAAACTGTTGAGCATCTCCTAAGTGTCATTTCCTAAGGTTATTTTTAAGAGTATTTATTTGACATAGGGCTTCCCTGGTGGCTCAGAGGTTAAAGCGTCTGCCTGTAATGCGTGAGACCTGGGTTCGATCCCTGGGTCAGGAAGATCCCCTGAAGAAGGAAATGGCAACCCACTCCAGTATTCTTGCCTGGAGAATCCCATGGATGGAGAATCCCATGGATGGAGGAGCCTGGTGGGCTACAGTCCATGGGGTCCCAAAGAGTTGGACACGACTGAGCGACTTCACTTTCATTTTCACTTTATTTGACATATATGACCACGTAAAAACAGTTCTTTGCATAGTCAGAGATCATTGAGCTTTGGAAATTCAATATGCAAGCAACACAGTCCTATGTTATCACTCTTAAAATCAAACTCAATGCAGATCATCCTTTAATAGAGTTCTTCATCAGAAAGACAAGCCAGTATTTTCTTGTGCTACTATCAGTGCTGATTATGTCAGAAGTTCTTCCTGTTTTGACATCTTGGTGAAACGCTTTCTGTTTCAGTGTTGCAAGTCCCATGGACCAGACTGTTTTCTTTTCTCCAAACAAAAGAGACATTCAAAAGTCACATTCATTTGGCAAAATGTAAACTAGAAATACACGTGTATTTTCAAAACCTACCAAATATGAATAAGTAAACTGCTTTTCCCCCAAAGTTATATTTATATTACAAGTTTTTCCTTCTGCAAGTTTGTACTAGAAGAATGTTTAACTTCTCTGAAGAAAATGTGGATGTTTACTTGTGGTGCTTATAAAGCTTTGAGAAAGGTACAAGGCAGGAATATAATGAATTATATTCTAAAAGGATTCATTATATAATGAATTATTTTCTAAAAGGAATTTGGCCAAAATATGCATGTATCTTGTGGAAAGAGAGAAAGAAAGAAGACTGTTTTCTGTGGGTATATCCAGCTCATTCTGATATATTTTTAGCCAGCTCTCACTTTGCACACATATCTTGACATATTGGTCACTGATCATTAATTTATATGACCTCTCAACATTTCGGACATAATTAAACATGGTGTATATCCATTTTACCAGCACCATATTGATATGCCAAATTCAGAAACTGTGTAATTACCATGTGAATTTATAGCAGCTACAAAAAGTATATTTGCTCACATGCTTAGACCATACACTGATTCAGTAATGCATATACCTCTTTGCTTAAAAGAATTTTTTAAACATTTCTGCCATCACTTTCTTTGTTAAAATCTTTTCCTCTTAATTTCCTTCCTTACCTCAAAATTATCTGCTGCAAAGACAGAAATAAATTAAACAGTACAATTAAATAGATAGCCAATGAGGAATTTGCCGTATGATTTGGGGAACTCAAACAGGGGCTCTCTATCAACCTGGAGGGGTGGAATGGGGAGGGAAATAGTACAGTTAATGCTACCCTGATGTTTGGGAGAAATTACTATGGAAGATTGTAAGCAACCAAAAAGCACATTTCTGAGTCTTAGAAAGTCTAAGAAACTGAGCACAACAGATAATAACACGACAAATAATATTTAAAATGAAGGTTTTTTCCCCAAAAGCTACCACAGTGATGAACATGTTTATAGACAGGCTTCTTAAAAGCTGTTCAAACCAGACTCTAGGAAGATAAATTTTACCACCTTGAAAATGCTGGGCTCCTTAAGTAAAATAGGAATGGGAAAACTAGCTGCAGACTCTAAGCACTAAGACATTTGGATATATTTTAGCAATATGGAATAAAAGATTCAATTTCAACTTTCTAAAAAAAAACAAAGGAATCATTACTTGAGATAGTATAGGGAGTAGAAAATAAGAGCTATCAAAGTTATTAATATTTGAACCATGGAAGCTTCTGACTGGAGATCAATTTCTGAGAAGCCACAGCTCCAGCCAGAGTCCTGGACATTAAAAGGGAGTTCTTGCTAACACATAATTAAGTACCCACAGTTTAGATAAGATATCTCCAAAGGGCAATTGAACTGCCCTCCAGGTTTTGAAATTTGTAGTTACTCAATGAAGTCATTGTTTAGCATAAAAGAAGTGACATTCTTTTTTTTTTTTTTAATTTTTTTAGGCAATGGCACTCCACTCCAGTACTCTTGCCTGGAAAATCCCATGGACGGAGGAGCCTGGTAGGCTGAAGTCCATGGAGTTGCTAAGAGTCAGACACAACTGAGCAACTTCACTTTCACTTTTCACTTTCATGCATTGGAGAAGGAAATGGCAACCCACTCCAGTGTTCTTGCCTGGAGAATCCCAGGGATGGGGGAGCCTGGTGGGCTGCCGTCTGTGGGGTCACACAGAGTGGGACACCACTGAAGCGACTTAGCAGCAGCGGCATTTTAATTGGAGGCTAATTACTTTACAACATTGTGATGGTTTTTGCATACATTCACATGAATCAGCCATGGGTGTACACGTGTTCTTCCTATCAGAAAGTCATTTTACAGTATTAAAACAGAAAAAAAAATGGCACTTGACATAATTTGTCCCACAAAAGCTCCCTAGTTTCCATGAAAATTCTGAAGTTATGTATTTTGCCCTCCACTGGCACTAATTTGGCAACCTTACTCTCTCCATCTACTCAATGTGAGTGCTCTGTGAGCAGTAATTCAACATACTTGCACTGACCAGAAATATGTGACTTTGCTGTGTGTTAAAAATAGCTTCCCCTTTTGAGCACTTGTGATTTGTTTAGGTTTATTCTAGTCTTCTACTCCTGACATGTCTTGGAACATTACCTCTGTCCTTCATTGGATTACAGGACCTGTTGAGAAAGTCACCGGTCACAGGCGTGTACATGACACAGGCACTTTGAACTCTGGAGCAGTGGATACTCCTGCAAGGTTAGTCCATTTCATGGCCAAAGTAACACATCTATATTTTTAGTTCATTGTTTAAAAAATAAAATTAATAATCATAAAAATATAAGAATAGTCATATTTCATTTTAAAATTTAGTGTAACTTTATAATTCTGTTTTATTGTACACCGCAATGTTTTCTATTTTATGTGTTATAACCCTAGAACAAATACAGAGATGCCTTTTAAATACCTTTTAAGTATTTCTGACATGAAAACTAATTACCCTTTGCATATTGGATTTGTCATTATTTTGAGTCACACCTTCTTCATAAATCAAAGAAATTGAATTATCATGACTAATTCTTAATCCACTTTGTGTCTAAAGATAGCAAACATTTGGAATAAAAACTTGAAAGACAAGCTAATTATTTAGATGTTTTATCTACATGATATTAAACAGCTAGATGTCTGGTTAAACTTCTTGTGTTTAATAGAGCAAAATGGAAATTTTAGTTGTCTTCTAAATTTAATTAACAATCAATTTGATCAAAACATTTACTCTGGAACTTGCATTATTGATTTTGCATGCCTGTATTGATCAAATTAACCAGAGGCTTTGCAAAATGCATTTTAAGATGCAGTAAAACCTGGGTAGTCTGAGCCTTCAGCTCCTCTTAAATCCCCGTGCAGTGAGCAATCCCTGGATTTCGAGTGTGTCTGTGTGTGTGTGTCTGTGTGTTGTGGAGGGGGTTTGGTAACAACAGCACAGCGGGAAGTGAGCCTGTGGGTATACACATGTACTTATATCTCCCGTAATTTATTCTGTAGATGTTTATTCTTTCACACATCCGTTCTCATTCCCTATTCATTAATACAGATAAATGGCTATTGAATCAATCTAGTGCTATCGGCTGCTATTAACCTTCTGTAAATCCTTTAGGTCTGATCACTATGGTTACCTAAAAACCTGGCAAATAACCTAGATTAAATAGACTAAATAAGTTCTGTGTGTCTAGTAAAAGTTCTTTATTTAGGAAGATAACATTTTCAGTTGGAATATGCTAAGCTTTAAACTTTTAATAAACTCTTAATAACTGTCAATGCTATTATGAAATAGTTTCCAATTTTATGATCATCTTTTGACTCATTTTTCTGAAGCCCTGATTATGTACGATTAATGAGGGTTTTCTGTCGATTTAACTTTTCTCTCATTTATTTTTCATTGCTTCTGGGAATACTTCAGAAGTTTCCACCACTGTTCTGTTTTTAAATAAAATAATTTATGAAGTATAATCAGCTTTAGATTTCAAATTGTGCTTTCATACATGAGCCATAAAATTTAAAATATTACACTTAATTGTATGAGGATGTTGTGTTACTACTTATTCAAATTTCATAGTAGTAAGTTTTTCAATAAAAACTTTTATCCTTATTATTTTCTTAGGACATTTAACTATAGTGACTATATAGCTCAAATTTTCAAAAGTGTGTGGTCTTAAAATATGAATATGCTTACGAGGAAAAAGGGACAGTGTATTTTAAATCTGTTTAGTTCTTCAACAATCTAAAATGTAAATGTACTTCAACAGTCTAAAATAGTCATCCTTCTACCATACAGGATTCTAATTATGCCTTCAGTTCATTTTTCTCTGATAGCAATATATCATATCATCTGTTGGCCATTGTGAAGTTATTGCAAAAATGAAATATAGGGGACTCAGAAGTGTAGCATTCACAAACCCATAGACATATCACCATACTCTCCCATTTAAAGGCTCTTGTACACCTAGTTGAAGCACTGATCACAAATATCAGGTCTGAAAAATGGAAATGTTATTTTTCCAAAGCCCATAGAAAAATGTGGTCTGTCACTAAAGAGCATGGTAGTCTTCTTAAATGCAGGGATCCCCAGTTTCAGTCTCTTGCTGTGACTTTATAGCTATCCATAAGGTTTTGTTCATCTTTGGCCTTTGTCTCATTTGCTATCATTTGGGGCTAATTCCACTTTGTTTTCTTAAATCCAGTTTTGGCTAATAAATACCTACAACATATTTTACTATATATAATAGCACTGAGAAATTGAACTTTGAGTACAACTAAGTAGAAAATATCAAATATGATATCATTATAGTATAAGTTGGTTCAACATCTGTGTCAGATTATGCTATTCAAACACATGAAACAGTCAAATTTCTGACTTGATCATCCTCTGCAGACAGTTCTTGTCAGTTGAAGTCTGTTTTTTGTTATTGCTCTGTCAGTGGATCATCCCCATAATTACAAAAATTCTGTTGAATTCCCAGAGGTTTTCTATATTTCTTATCTGTTACATTATTCGAGAATAAGATATTACATGTTGTTGTTGTTCAGTAGCTTAGTCATGTCCAACTCTTTGTGACCCCATGGACTGCAGCACGCCAGGCTTCCCTGTCCATCACCCACTCCTGGAGCCTTCTCAAACTCATGTCCATTGAGTCGGTGATGCCATCCAACCATCTCTTCCTCTGTCATCCCCTTCTCCTCCTGCCTTCAATCTTTCCCAGCATCAGGGTCTTTTATAATGAGTCAGTTCTTTGCATCAGGTGGCCAAAGTATTAGAACTTTAGCTTCAGCATCAGTCCCTTCAATGAACATTCAGGACTGATTTCCTTTAGGATTGAAATTGGATCTCCTTGCAGTCCAAGGGACTCTCAAGGGTCTTCTCTAACACTACAGTTCAAAAGCATCATTTCTTCAGTGCTCAGCCTCCT